CTTATTATCATTATTCTTCCTCCTCCTCCTCCTCCTCCTCTTCCTCCTTCTCCTCCTCCTCCTCCTCGTCCTCCTCCTCTTCCTCCTTCCCCCAGAATCGAGCTGTTTTCTTGTCCTGCCCCCCTCCCCCAAAAAACAAAACGGTTCGTTGCCTCCCGTTTTTATTGGGTTTTTTTTTTGGGGGGGGGGCAGGAGAAGAAACAACTCGATTCTAGTAGAAGGAGGAGGAGGAGCAGGAGAAAGAAGGAGGAGGAGGAGGCAGAGGAGGAGAGGGAGGCCCCGGATTTGTTTTCCTTCGTCCCCCCCCCCCCCAAAAAAAAAAACACGCGAAGTCGTTGTGTTTTTCTGTAGGGGGTGGGGGGGCGGCGGCGAAAAAAACAAAAATCCGACGTGGCCTCATTGGCCCTCACCTCTGGAAGGATTCCGATTGAAAGCCAAAACAGTAAGGGTTCATAGTGAAATCCTCCACAGGAGCATTCCTATCGAAACCATCGAAAGAAGGATTGCTATTGAAATCCTCCACATGTTAGTTCCTATTGGAACCACCTGCAGAAGGATTGCTATTGAGATGCTTCGAAAGAACGCCCCCGGTGGCATTGCATTGGCATTGGTTTGGCAATGGTTTGGCATTGCTCTGGAATTGTGCTTTGCCGTGCGTTGGCATTGCGCTGGCATTTCGCAAGCATTGCGTTGGCGAATCCTGATGGAACCCTCCACAGAAGCACTCCCATTGAAACCCCCTACAAGAAAGACTCCTATTGAAACCCTCCACAAAAATGGTTCAGATTGAAATCCTCCGCAGAAGGATTCCGTGCGAAGCCCTCCACTGAAGGACTCCGATTGGAACCTACCACAAAGGATTTCCCCAATTGGCATCGCATTGGCACAGGAGCGGGATCGCCATGGCATTGGTTTTGCGTTGTGATGGCACTGCGTTGGCATTGCGCTGGCGAGCCTCAGTCGGACGCTCCACAAGAAAATTCTTATTTATCCACCCCGACAAGAAGGATGCCTAGTGACCCCCCACACACACAAGAAGGATTCACATTGAAGACCTCCATAGAAGGAATACATTTGAAACCCTTCACATTGGGATTCCTAATGAAATCCTCCGAACATGGGTTCGCAATGTCATCGGCCCAAAAGGATTCTCATTGAAATACACCTGGGGAGGATGCCCCCTATTGGCATTGGTTTAACATTGTGTTGGCATTGCGTTGGAACTGCGCTGGCAGTGCGCTGGCGAGTCCTAACGCCTCCCTTCGCAGAAGGATTCCTGCTTCACCAACCAGCAAAAAAAAGGATCCCCTTTGACATCTACCACAAAGGATTGCCCCCAACGACGTTGCATTGGCATCGGCTTTGGGATCGCACTGGCATTGCGCTGGCATCGCGTTGGCACTGCTTTGGCATTGCGCTGGCGAGCTCCAATGCCTCCCGTCGCAGCAGGACTCCTATTTTACACCCCAGGGGGGTTCTTATTGGAATCTACCACAAAGGATTGCCCCCATCGGCATGGCATTGGCACTGGATTGGGGTCGCTTTGGCATTGGGTTGGCATTGCCTTAGCACTGCTTTGGCACTGCGCTGGCGAATCCTAATGCATGCCTTTGCAAAAGATTCTGGTTGAACCCCCCCGCAAAAATTCGCCGGCCCAACGGGCCAGAGGCGTGCTAAGATCTCTGGTAACTGGTAAACAGTATTTCTAGTTCGCGCGCGCGGGGCGGCCCCTGGGGGTCCCTGGATCAAAAGTACCCCGGGCGGAGCCCGGGCGGAGCCCGGGACACTCCCCCAGATCCTCCAGGATCGCCCCAAGAGGCCCCCAACACAATCCAAGAGAGGTCCAAGACGCCCGAAGATCGCTCCACGGCGCCCAAGATGGCCTCCAGACGGCCCAAGACGTCTCCAAGATGACCCAACAAGCCTCCAAGATGCCCCAAGAGACCTCCAGGAGCACTCCCAAGAGGGCCCCAAGAGGCAAACATCAATGCTTTTTCTTAGGTTTTGGACAGATTTGGGCGTTTCAACCTTTTCGGTTCCCCGACGCCCCTAAACCGCTCAAGAGGCCTCCAAGATCGCCCCAAGAGGGCCCAAGAGGCCCTCAAAAGGGCCCCAAGACGGCCCAAGACGGCTCCAAGACGGCCCCAGAGGCCTCCAAGACGGCCCAAGAGGGCCCCAAGAACGCCCCCAACACGATCCAAGAGAGGTCCGAGACGCCCGAAGATCGCTCCACGACGCCCAAGATGGCCTCCGGACGGCCCAAGACGTCTCCAAGATGGCCCAAGAAGCCTCCAAGATGCCCCAAGAGGCCTCCAAGAGAACTCCCAAGAGGGCCCCAAGAGGCAAAAACCTGTGCTTTTCTTTTGGTGTTGGACAGATTTGGGCGTTTTAACCTTTTCGGTTCCCCGACGCCCCTAAACCGCTCAAGAGGCCTCCAAGATCGCCCCAAGAGGGCCCAAGAGGCCCCCAAGAGGGCCCCAAGACTGCCCAAGACGGCTCCAAGACGGCCCGAGAGGCCTCCAGGACGGCCCAAGAGGGCCCCAAGAACGCCCCCAACACTACACTACAGCTCCCGACGCCGCAGCTCCACACTGCAAACGACCACTCGGACAGGCGACCACGGTGCGACGTTATGGGCCGGCGGAATGAGCGAAGCGATGAAATAATCCCCTTTGAATCTGACATTGCATTGGCATCGGCTTTGGGATCGCACTGGCATTGCGCTGGCATCGCGTTGGCACTGCTTTTGGCATCGCGCTAGCATTGCGCTGGCGAGTTCCAATTCCTCCCGTCGCAGAAGGATTACGAGTGAAACCTCCAGGATGAATCTTATTGACCCCTAACACAACAGATTGCCCCCATTGGCATAGCATTGGCATTGGATTGGGGCCGCCTTGGCATTGATTTGGCATTGCGTTGGCAGAGCTTCAGCATTGCGCTGGCGAGTCCAAATGCCTTCCTTCGCAGAGAGATTCAATTTGAAACCCTCCGCACAAAGGATTCCTTCTGAAATCTACCACAAAGGATCGTCCCCAACGACATTGCAGAGGCATCGGATTTGAGATCGCAATGGCATTGCGCTGACATTGCGCCAGCATTGCTTTGACACTGCTTTGGCATTGCTTTGGCACTGCTATGGCATTGCGCTGCCGAGTTCCAATGCCTCCCTTCGCAGAAGGGTTCCTATTGCCACCCCCAGGGGGATTCTCATTGGAATCTACCACAAAGGATTGCCCCCATCGGCATGGCATTGGCATTGGATTGGGGTCGCCTTGGCATTGGTTTGGCATTGCGTTGGCACTGCTTTGGCATTGCGCTGGCGAGTCCTAATGCCTTTCTTCGCAGAAATATTCCGGTTGAAACTTTCCGGGGACTCTTCTTGGAGCCGTGTTGGGACTCTCTTGGGCCGTCTTCGAGGCCTCTTAAGCGGTCCCGGGGCGCTCTTGGGCCGTCTTGGGGCCGTCTTGGTGGCCTCTTGGGCCGTCTTGGGGCGATCTTGGGTGCCTCTTGGCCGTCTTGGAGCGCCAGGGAGCCCAAAAGGAGAGAAAGCCAAAAACATAGAAAAACACAATGGAAAATCAACGATTCGAGCCTCTTGGGGCCCTCTTGGAGAGCCTCTTGGAGGCCTCTTGGGGCGTCTTGGAGGCCCCTTGGGCCGTCTTGGGACCATCTTGGGCGTCTTGGAGCGATCTGGGACCGCCTCGGGGCCCTCTTGGACCATCCTGGGGGCCTCCTGGGCCGTCTTGGAGGCCTCTTGGGTCGTCTGGAGGCTCCTTGGAGGCTCCTTGGAGGCCCCGGGGAGGGGGTATTAAAAAGCGTTCCCCGATGGTTGCGGAGTGGGCGGCCCCGCCGGGGGAGGGGGGGCCTATTTGTTTATATTATATATATCGTCCCGAAACGCTATGAGCGCCTTCCAGAAACGCTCTGGAGCGATTTATCCATGTCCCCCCCCCCCCCGAACCACTCCATCAGATCGGGCGACGCAGGAGAAAGATCGCGACGCCTGGCTGCTCGTCGCCCTCGGCCTCCGGAGGCCCACTTCCCGGCCACGGGAGAAAACGCCCGCAGACGACTCGGGATGGTGAGCCGGTCCCAGGGCGGAGGCCGCGATCCCCGGGGGGGCGCCACCTGGAGAGGGAGGGAGAACGGCACAAGCAGAAACTGTCGGAGCGCTGTGCGCGGATCCCTCGGATCGGCGCTGGACCCCCTGGCGTCAGGTCGGGCGTGTCCTCCTGCAGGCGGATTCGGGGCGAAAAATAAAAAAGCACGCCCAACAAATTATGAAACATACTCAAGAAATACTCCAAAAAAGTCGTCCCCTGATTATTAGTTGACTGTTGTTTGAATATTCCTCCTGTAGAGGGACAAGCCCGACTTAACCCTGGCGGTGGCGCCAGCGCCGCCCCTGGCGCGCGCTCCGCGCGCCAGGGAGGGAGTTCAGCGCCGGTCCAAGAGGTCTGCGCGGCGCTCCTGTGCCATTCTCTCTTCCTCCAACCTGGCTCGCTCCCGAAAAGCGGGCACCTTTGGAAGGGCCTGGCTTCCCCTCCCGCCGGCTTCCGCCAAAGCCAGGCCAACGGCGAAGTTGCTTTACGGTGATGCTGGAAACTAACCTGTAGGAGATCACGAAACTCACGTTCCCACACCTCCAATGTTCGAGTGGGCCGAGCAAACGCGACACAGCGAATTGGAGGAGAGCGCGAGCCACGCGTTCCCACACTGCCGAAACCTGCGTCGCCGAAGCCTACATCGCCGTTGGCCCGTCTAAATACGGTTCCGCCGGACGCGAGGCGCTGGGAGGGCGCGCAGTTCCTCGAGCGCCCCACTTGGCGGCGGGCTGAAAGGGGGGGCGCAGGGGCAACGATAGGGGGTGATAGGCATAGGGTGGACGCATCGACCCCCAATCGCCCATTGATCGCCGATAGGGGCCCGATAGGCCCAGCCCACCCAGGAAGGCGCCGCTTCCCTATCGGAGTCCTGTCGTTCGCTGGTCTATCGACGACGTATCGTCGATTCCAGGTCGATGCGTCGCCCCCTTGTGCCAGTTCCCCCGTATCGTTGCCCCTCGGGGGGTAGGACAGGCGACGGCCGACTCCGACGGCGACCACAGCGGCGTCCTTGCATGCCTTCGGGCGCAGGGTCGAGTGCACTTGAAGAGGACACGTCATGGGACACGGGACGCTTACGAGGGCCACATTGCCACAAGAGTGCAGAATCTAGAGGGCATGGGCCGCGAAACATCTTTGCGTCGGCGGCTAGGCAGGGGACGTCTGCGCAGGCGATGGGAGGCCTACACGGGCATGCCGTTTGAGCGAATTGGGCCACCATGCAGGAGGAGGAGCGGGGAAGAGCGCGGCCGAACAAAGGGGGCGGATGGAGCGAGCAAGCGCGAAACACAGGACACAAGGGTACTCTTGATTTGGCAGGGTTTCCCCACTAACCAAACTCAACTGTGTGGAGATCCCCAGAGGCCTCCAGAGGGACCACCATAGGACCTCCGAGACCTCGGGGGCCCTCCTCCTTCTGGCTTTTACGTTAGACCAACTTCAGCTGCGGGGGCTGTAGCGTCAACCCACCTCCTCCTCCTCCTCCTCCTCCTCCTCCTCCTCCTCCTCCTCCTCCTCCTCCTCCTCCTCCTCCTCCTCCTCCTCCTCATCCTCCTCCTCCTCCTGAGACCTCGGCGAAGACGATGTCGTCGCCGTCGACGGCATCGTCTGGGAGGTTGCTTGGGCTCTTCTGGTGGTTCTCGTCTTGAGGGCCTCGCCGACGGAGCGACGGGCACGTGCCACGTCGCGCCGCTGGGATCCTGGCATCCCGAGCGTCGAAAATCACCCCCGTTGCGGGCCGAACGGCTTCTGCTGCGAAGATCGCGGAAATCGCGCGGGGCGGGCGCGCAGCCGATCTCGAGCTTCCAGTTTCCAGTTCCCAGGCTGCGTCTTCAGTGGAGGCCCGCTTGGGGCACAGCGGCAGCAAGAATGAAACAGAAGCGGGTGAAACGACCAATAATACAAGCATTATACCTGGAGGCTGCTCTTGGAAAACCATGCGGCGAGGCCCTCAGCCATGGAGTTCCACGCGGTCCTGTAGTTCGTGATATTGATCCACGCGGGCACCCCGGTTTGTGCTGCATGTCTCCGAATAAGATCATCCCATTTCATCCACCTTCGTCTCGTCGGCCTCCGCGGTCGCCACGAGCAGTCTGCCACTGCCCGGGTCCAGTCCGAATCGCGCCAACACGTGACCTTCCGCACCCACGTTGAAAAGCTCCTCCCGGACGCGCGTCCGGCCCAGTACCATTTTTCTGAGCGCGTGCACGAACCCTCGTACCCCAGCTGCCGCTGCCCGTCTGCGTGCTTTGGTTGTCGCCCGCTGGATCCACTCATGCCAGCGTTATTATGGCGCTCTGCGGTGCTGGCAAATGCGTCGAAGCATGCTGTTCTGCGCCGACTTCAACGACCGCGCCTCGTCCTCTCTGGGTGTCCAAGCGTACGAAGCATACAGAACCGCGCTGCCGACTGTGAAGTCGAACAGATGGAGCCGCCTGTTCAGAGACACGCTGCCGTTGGGCAGAAGTCGTCTCATCGCCCAAAACTTGCGCCACCCCACCGCGATTCTGCGGTCGATCTCCGGTTTTGTCACGTCCAGGAGCGAGAGAGATGTTCCCAGAACCTCCAAACACCCATCCTCCTCCAATACGAACAGAGAAAAACTTTCCTCCAATAGAACCGAGCCTCGGCGGCCCCACTCCACGCAATTCGCTTGAGCTTTGCACTTGGACGGATGCAGGCGCAGCCCTCGCCCCAGGAGCCTTTTGCCTCAGCTCGAGCACCATTCGCTTCAGTGAGAGCCGCGCGCGCGCCACTCAAGTCACATCGTCTGCAAACGCGACACGCGTCAGCCTCTTGCCGCCCAGTCCTCCCCCAACTTCCGTCCCGTACCCTCGCCGTTGCCAAACAACTTCACATTCTGATAGCACCTGCGCCATTAAGAGGTTGAAAAGAAACGGTGAAAGTGGATCTCCTTGCCGCACACCTCGTTGCACCTCGCATATCCTGCTTTCGACCCCCGGCCACAGCTGCGCGTGCGCCCCCATGCCTCTGTGGAGCTTTCTCAAGGCACTCACAACGGACACGTCAATCCGGAAAGCCATCAGCGCCTCAAACAGCTTGTCGTGGTGCACCTTGTCAAACGCCTTCTCCACGTCCAGCGTTGCCATCCACAGGTTTTCGCCCCACCCTGCTGACTTCTCCACGGCCATACGTAGCACGTGCAAAGCGTCGTCACATCCACACCCACCCCTGAAACCGCATTGTGTCTCCAGCAAATTTGCCTCCACGGTCGACTGTATGCGCCTGTGCAACACAATGCTGAACAGTTTGGCCATCACCGGGATGATCGAAATAGGCCGGTAGTTTTTTCACATCCAAGCGGTCGCCCTTTTTGAAGATAACGGAAAGCCTTGCCATCTTCCACTCGCTCGGCGGCCCCATCCGCCCTGCAATCACATCGGCGAAGTAATCCGCAAGAGTCTGCAACAATTGCTCGCGCCTGGTCTGCAGCATCTCCGCGACAAGGCCAATTCCGCGCAAGTACGGCCCTTTTTCATGCGTTGCAAGGCTGCGGAAAGCTCTTCTTTCGAAACCGGGGAAACCATTCCAGCCACGTGGCCCTCCTCCCCACGCATTGTCCACGTCGTGCTCTTTGTACAAATCTTCGTAGAACTGCGCAAAAATATCTGCGACGACCGCGCTGTCTGAGACGAGCTCCCCCTTGGCATTGTTGATCGCCGCCACCCGCTCTATGCCTCTGTGCCGTTGCTGAGCGTGCTGCAAAAACCGGGTGCCTTTTCCCATGCTCCGCCAATTCTTCAATCTCCCTGCCCTGCCCTTGCCGCCGTTGTCTTCGAAGCTCTCTCTATAGCCGCTTGGACAAAGTCTCGCGCTCCTCCGGGCGCGCCTCCCTTCTTCTGTCGGAGAACAACTGTGTGATCGAGTCAGAATGCTTCCGTGGGGTTTTCTTGATGACGTCGCTGCTCGCCCTCGCTGCCGTCACGACGAGGCCGTTCACGTCCACCACGCTCGCATGGCCCTCCTCAAGCCCAGTAGTCAACAGTTCGTGGAACTTCGTCGGAAACCCCATCTCATCCACAGCCGGCGCCCACCCTCTCATCAATCGTTGTCTGCGCGTCCTCTGAATTGCACTGGTATCGCATGTAAAAGTCGCCCACAAAACCCGATGGTCAGATTTACCTTCCAATTCGCTGTACATCACAACGTCCCACACCGTGTCGGCATGCAAGCAATCCACAAATATGTAATCAATTTGTCGTTCTCCCCTTGTGTTCCATAACTTGTGTGTCCTGGATCCTCCCCTTTTCCATGGGGGGGCGCGGCAGCCACCAACCGGACGCCGTGGAGCCAATGGCTTAATATGTGTCCTCGCGAATTACGTTCTCCATAGCCGTTCTGCCCAATTACATCTACGTCGTCACAGGGAAGCTGCCTGCCGAGGATCGCGTTCGCATCCACGCCCAATGCCACTCGTCTTCCTTGAGCCCTGGCGTCCAAGATCACCGTCTCAAGGTCTATGAGTCACTCCTCGAAGTCCTCGTCTTCATACCCTCCATAGCGCAAACGCGAAGACACAATGCGTAAAGACAAATTCGAATCATGCGGTGTGACATCCAAGTACGCTAACGCGGCACTCGGGGCCTGGATTTTGGTCTCCACGCCTTTCAAAACCCACCGCCTGTGTAGCAACATGCCGACCGAACGCTTGGTGTGAGCCTCCGGGGAGCTGAAAAACATGTGCCCGTTCTCAAGTATCCGTTCCGACGCACTGTCTGCTCCGGGGCCCTCTTGAAACAAGAACACGTCCCAGTCTGCGCCTTCATCAAGAATATCTGCAACATCACGTATGCATCCCCTCTTCCATACCGCACGCACATGTCGAGTTCGCCCCCGTTCCCTCTGAGAAATCAGCCTGGCTTCGAAGCTCCGGCGTCACCATCCCAGCGAGTCCAGAAAACGACATCGGCACATCGCCGCAAACTGATGCATGGATACCCCTGCCGCCACCCAGGGACACCTTGACCTGCCCCGTCTCCTATTCCATGGCGAACAACTTTTCGAAATGGTCCTTCCACCCCACGCCCTCCCCCACCAACTCCATCTTACCGTCTGCCCATGCAGCCACCCGTAAATCTTTGTACCAAACGACGCCCTTGGTGTAGTTGGTGTCGATGTGAGGCTTCACTGCGGCGCCATCCCCCCCATTCTTCTCGATGATCATGCGCACCAGCTTCCTGACAGCGCGGCTCTTCATCTCCTCCTCTGAGAAGGGGTCCTTCGCCCTGGCGTCAATGTTGCAATACACCTTCTTGCCCTTGTAATCGTGCCCGTGCTTGCCCGCGTGCTTCCCCATGTAGGTCCACATGGCTTCCGAAGTCTTGAACCGGGCACCGCCCCTCTCCGCGAACTTCTTCCCATATGCGTAGATCTCCTCTATGTCCTCACGAGCCTCGGTCAGCACGCCCTCCATGAACTCGATGATGTCCTTGGCCCTGCTGTCCTCGGGGAACTTCCCGAAGCCAATCGTGCGGGACCACTTCTCGTCCACCGCGACGTCGGCCACGAACTTGCCCTTCCCCTTACCCTTTGGCCTGGAACCTCGCCGCCGTCGTCGAGGCCCCTGTCCCCGTCCTCGCCGGCTTCTCCTTGATGATGTCTTTGACCAACTTCGGCAGATCATCCCGCAACGCGGTGAACTCTGCCTTGACCATGTCGGCCGTCTCCACGGCCATGTCCGCCTGGAGCTTTGCCTGCTTCGCTATGTCCTTAGACTCCCCTACGTCCCCCTTGACGTCCTTAAGATCATTCTTCATGCTCCTCATCATGCCCATCATCTTCTTCATCATGCCTACCACCGCCTGGGAGCCCTCGCCCACGTCATCGTCGCCGTCTTCGAGGTCGGCGTCATCATCGTCGACCGGCATGCTCAGATCTTCATTCTCCCTCCTAGCCCGCTTGTCCTCTGGAGTCTCCCCAGTGTGGTCAGCGCCCTTCCGCGCAGCCATCGGGAAGTAAGATATGGAGGTGCCTGGGGCGCATGGCTCGGTCCAGGACTTGAGTATGAAAGCTACTTGAGTATGAAAGCTCGAGCCAACTATTGAGCCGAGATGACCTTGAGCCAAGATGACCTGACCCAAAGGGTCCGAATGGCGACCGCGGGCTGGCGGCGGCTCGGAGAACTCGCCGCGAGATCGATCCCCGAAGGCAGGCGCACGAGGGCCAGCTTGGGGCGGCTCTGGGCCGTGGGCAGGGCGCGAGGAGGGGGGGGGAGGGGCTTCTGAGAAGGCCAGGGGACCTTCTCAGCAAGGATCAGGGCCACTCCCCTGAAGCTCCGGAGAGGGCATCCTGGAGGAGGAGGAGGAGGAGAGGAGGAGAGGAGGAGGAGGAGGAGGAGGAGGAGGAGGAGGGGGAGGAGGAGGGAGGAGGAGGAGGCGGAGGAGGAGGGGGAGGAGGCGCAGGAGGAGGAGGAGGAAGAGGAGGAGGAGGAGGGGGAGGGCAGAGAGGGCCTCTGAGGGGCGCAGCGCGCTCTCGGAGGGCCGCTCCCCTCGCCGTGCTGCCCTCAAGACCGACCGCCGACCTCTCCCGCGGCGCATCCTCGCGACCGGAGCTCCGAGGCGCACCTCCCGGCCGCGGCGACGAGGACCCTCCCGAGGGCCCAGGGAGTGCGACGAGGCATCGGCACCCTGGAGATCGGACCTCCCGAAGCTCGAAGAGAAGAAGACCAAACGGCATGAACACAAACTTCTGGCGCACCGCGCGGATTTCTCGGATCTGCGCGCCGGACCCCCCTCCCTGGCGCGCGGGGCGCGCCAGGCGGCGGCGCCCGAGGCGCCGCCAGGGGGGCCCGGCGCGGATCCGAGAAACCCGAGCGGAGGAACAAAACAATGAGTTGGTGCTTGTGGCGCGCGTTTGCTCTTTCGAGCCCTGGAGATCGGACCTCCTGAAGGTGGAAGCCCCCTCACCACCGCCCCCGTTGGCGCGCCGCCGCGGGGGGGAGGCGTGCGCGCGCTATGCCGCAGGCCCTGCGGTGCCATGGGCACGCGCGCAGCGCCGCCGGCAGAGACACGCCAGAGCCCGACGTCCGGGCGACGTGAGAAAAAGAAAGCACGACGGGCGCTCCTGTTGGCCCCCCTCGGGCCCCAGAGACAGTCACGGGTCGATCCAGTTCGAGAAATCTGGCACGGGGACGTCCCTCCTTCTCCGTGGTGGCCTCCATGGAGTCTCCTGGGGCGCCCCTGGGATTTTTTTGGGGGGGCCTTTCGGGGGGCTTCTGTGTGAGGTCTCGAGGGCCTCTTGGCATCGTCTATGGGCAACCACGGTTCTGGGCACCTGCTACGTACACATGGTTCATGTCTAATTCTTCGAAAGTTCTTTGATTTTTTTGGGCCCAAGATCCTTTCCTTTCTGATTGTACTATCCTGGGCCTCTTCCTGGCCACCAGGGGGCCAGGAACAGTTTGAAACGAGCACAGTTAGAAATGAGCACGATTAGAAATGAACGACGTGTACCCCGGTTCATTAGTTTTCTCTGGGGGCAACATGGGGGGGTCCGTACCCCGGGCCCGAAAAATCAATAATCACAAGTACCTCACATATTGAATTTGATACATTCGCCCGCCTTTTTGCTGTTGTTTGGGAATTTTTGCCCCGTCGGGACCCTGGAGATGTACACAAACTTTGTGATTACACGTGCGCTGTAATGTACATGCGCTGTAGTGCACACACACACGCGACGTTGAAGCTTTGGTGAACACGGGCGTTGTGGTGTACACAGGCGTTGTGTTGTGCGTAGGCGCTGTGGTGCACATGATTACAATGGCTTACACAGGCATTGTGGCGTACACAGGTACTGTGGTGCATACCGCTACTGTTGTAGCGGCAGTTGTGGTGTTCAAAAACGTTGTGGTGCACGCGGTTATTGTTGTGTGCACAGGCGCTGTAGTTCACACCTGCACCCTGGTTTGCACAGACTGTGGTTTGCACGCGCGCTGTGGTGTGCACAGGCGCTGTTGTGCACAGAATTGCTGCTGCTGCAGCAGCACCCTGGGATGGACGTTGGTGCAAATGCACAGTGTTATGCTCACGGATACGTGGTGTGCACATGCATTGCCGCGCGCGCAGGCCTTGCCACCCCTGGCGCTTCGTAGCTGCGCAAGGGCGGATAACCCGCACCCGGCGCGCGCGGGAAAGCGACGCACCGGGGGGAGGGAGAGCGATGACGCACCTCCGGCGCGCCAGGGGGTGCGTCGCGTCATCTCCTCCGCCGCCCCGCCCCCTCCTTAACGCGCGTCATCCCCAGGAATCGAAGGGCACGCTCGAACTACCCAGTGGCTATACTGCTGAGCTGCGCTGTCCGAGCGCCCCCTCTTCGGGGACCTCTGCCGGGGACCTTCAGGGACCTTCGCCCCCCCCCGTCACCGACCAAGCCTCACCCTCGGGAGTGCCAACCATAGAGTGGAGACCCATGCCAAGACACCCCCTGCTTGCCTCCAGGATACCCTGAGTTTCTTGGGTTTCGATGCTTCTGCTATGGAAAGCGCGACGTTCCCACGCCAAAAACCGAATCGACGTCCTGGGGCCTCAGGGTTGGGTTCCTTGTGGAAGGTTTCTTGTGGTCGGGCCCCTACTGTACACCTCGAGCCCGGCCTCTGATAGAGCCGTTCAGAACGCCGCCCCCCTGGACCCATCCAGAGGTCCATCCTGGCCCGTTGTTCTCGAGCCGTGTCCGGCCGTGGCGACGAGGGGTCCCCTAGACCCCCGAAGGCCCAAAAAGGGAGGAGGAGGAGGAGGAGGAGGAGGAGGAGGAGGAGGAGGAGGAGGAGGAGGAGGGGGAGGAGGAGGAGGAGGAGGAGGAGGCGGAGGAAGAGGAGGAGGAGGAGGAGGAGGAGGAGGAGGAGGAGGAGGGCGGAGGAGGAGGAGGCGGAGGAGGCGGAGGAGGAGGAGGAGGAGGAGGAGGAGGCACGCGGGCGGGACTCCCTACGCTTATGTCGGGCGTGTCCCCCTACAAATGGATTTTCGACGAAAAATAAAAGATACCCTAAGAATACTCCAAAAAGGCAAAAAAATACTCAGAAAATAATCCCCAGACTATTTTTGGACTATGTTTTGACTATTTTTGTGGTATTTTTATTTTTCGTCGAAAATCCCCCTGTAGGGGGACAGGCCCGACTTAAGCCTACGCCCAGGGCCCACAAAGGGAAGACACCCCCGAACGTTGCCCACAGAGAGAAGGCATCCGTTCTCACCTTCAACGCAAACTCAAAGGGTGGAATGCAACGAGAAAGAAGCCGATGCCAGAGACGAGCGAACATGCAGGGCTGAGCATCTCCCCATGGGAGCCTCCTCGTTCTGATTCAGCGTGTTCGGTAAGATGGGCAAGGGTAAGCAACGATACCACAGAGTCCGGCACCATGCCCCCTGGCAAGGAGTTCGGTAATCTAATGTCCGCACTTTACTGTCTCTGTTGTAGGTTCTAGGTGGCTTCAGCAGGCCGTATCTGCGTGCACGCATTGACTCCAATCGACGTACATATCACCCCATGGGAGGCCCTCGAGAGGACCCGAGACGCGCTCAAAGATGGTCTAAGACGGACCATGGCCGCCCACGGATGGCTCCAAAGCGACCCAAGATGACAGATGGCCCAAGGGGTACCGAACAAGACCAGAAGACTCACGAGAGGCACCTAAGAGTCCACACGTGGTCCCCAGGAAGCCCCAAGAAGGAAGAAGCGTCCGAGATGCCCTCCAAGAGAGCCCTGAAAGGGCATAAAAACCAGCCGACCCTGTCGGCGTGTGGAAGGCGCTGTCGTCGCCGTCGTCCTCGTCCTCGTCCTCGTCCTCGTCGTCCTCGTCCTCGTCCTCGTCCTCGTTGTCGTCGTCGTCATCATCGTCGTCCTCGTCCTCGTCGCCGTCGTCCTCGTCATCGTCGTCGTCGCCCTCGTCCTCGTCGTCGTCGTCGTCGTCCTCCTCGTCGTCATCGTCGTCATCGTCGACGTCGTCGTCGTCGACGTCCCGGGGGGTGTCCCGCATACAGCGTTGGCGGCACTGGCCGTACGGCCTTCCTAATAAAGCATCATTGAATACTAGAACCATCGCGCGCGCTTCGCGCGCGATCAAGTTCTAGCTAGGCTGGATGGTCGAACTCGTAGGGCTTCATGTTGGGCTTCCGGGAGCCCAGGGCTGGAAAGGTTCGTTCGGCCCCCGCCTGAACCGCTGGGCTCTTGGGGGCCTCTTTCTGGCCTCCTGGATGCTGCTTGAAGCCGCCTGCTGGCGTCTTGTGGGCCTCTTGGGCTCTCTTGTGGGCCCCTTGGGGCCTCCTTGGAGCATCCTGGACTGCTTCTTGAAGTCGTCATGGGACCTTCTTGGTGGCATGTCTTCGGGGGCCTCTTAGAAAAAGTGTTGAGGCCTCTTGGGTGCCGTCTTGAGGCCTCTTGGAGCCTCTTTTGGGTTTCTTGGGGGCCCCTTGGGCCTCTTGGGGGCCTCTTGGGGCCTCTTGGGGGCTTCCTGGGGGGCGGGGCCTCTTGGGGACATCTTAGGGCGGAGAGCTTGCTTTTTCAATTCGCGTTCCCTCTCTCGGGCCCCTCTTGGGGCCTTCTTGGGACCCTCTTGCGCCGTCTTGGGCGGCTCTGGGGCCGTCTCGGGCTCTCGCGGGCCCTTTGGGGGCCCTCTTGGAAGCCTCTTGGGCCGTCTTGGAGCGGTTTGGGGGGCCTCTTGGGCGGTGCTTTAGCGCCAGAAACACGACACAGCAAGAATGCAAAAAACAGATAAACAAAAAAAATGGAAACCAACGATTTTGAACTCTCGGGGCGCTCTTGGGCGGCACCTTAAAGGCCTCTTGGGGCGTCTTGGGAGCCTCTGGGACAGTTAATAACGCATCGTGCGTCGCCAGAAACCCCTGGAAGGCGTCTTGGGGGTGTCTCGAGACCGTCTGGGGCTACCAGGATTGCTGTCGGAGGGCTCCCCGAGGCAACTTTGGGCTCCTCAGAGGTGGGCCCGGGCCCCTGGACCCAGATTTGCGGTCGAGGTTCCGGCCCTCGGCCCACGAGCCCAGTGTACCGTTATGTGTACAACTGACGTCTCCAGGGGAACAAAAAGTGGCATAAATATAAAAACTCGGAGGTCCGCGCGGATTTCTCGGATCGGCGCTGGACCCCCCTCCCTGGCGCGCGGAGCGTGCCAGGGGCGGCGCCGGGGGCGCCTCCGGGGGGTCACAGCGCCGCTCCCAGAAATCCGCGCGGACCTCCGAGTTTTTATGTTTATGCCACTTTGTGTTCCCCTAGTGATGTGCATATCTGGCGTCTCATGCCTACCACCCTTGATCGCCTCAAGAGGCCCTAGGCGCCCCGGGGGGTCCCAGGAGGCGCCCCAAAAGAGGCCCCGATCTGGCTCAAAGACCACCCCGAGGCGACCCCTGCAGAGGGCCCCAGGCTGGCCCTCCACCGCTCCCTGGTAGCCTGAAGTCGGACATGTCTCCCTACAGGGGGAATTTTAAGGGAACAAAAAATGGCATAAACATAAACGCTCGGAGGTCTGCGCGGATTTCTCGGATCGGCGCTGGACCCCCCTTCCTGGCGCGCGGAGCGCGCCAGGGGCGGCGCCGGAGGCGCCGCCAGGGGGCACCAGCGCCGATCCGAGAAATCCGGGCGGACCTCCGAGTGTTTATTCCCCACATGCTTAGTGGGGTTATGGTTTTCTTCCCTGCCTCGTCGCACCCGCGCCCCTCACACCCCACCTTCCTCCTCCCTCTCCTTTCACACAGCACATCACAGCGCAGCACAGCGCAGCACAGCGCAGCACAGCACAGCACAGCGCAGCACAGCGCAGCACAGCACAGCTCAGCACAGCACAGCACATACCAACGCACATACGAAAACTCACAACACACGCATCACACACACACACACACACGAACAAGCTCGCAGGGCGTGGCAGGCGTGACATATACACACAAGGCACACACGCACACATCACAATACACAGAGCACACACACACAAGCAGCGCAGCACAGCACAGCACAGTTCAGTCCACCAGAGGGGGTGCGCAGGGGGTGGTCTCTCACCGCGGCCGCTATCCACTACAATGTCGAAAAGCGTGGCAGGCGTGGCAATTTCTCGACACCAGAGGGGGTGCGCAGGGGGTGGTCTCTCACCGCGACCGCTATCAACGACACTGTCGAAAAGCCTAGCAGGCGCGGCAATTTCTCGACACCAGAGGGGGTGCGCAGGGGGTGGTTTCTCACCGCGGCCGCTATCCACGACACTGTCGAAACGCCTAGCAGGCGCGGCAATTTCTCGACACCAGAGGGGGTGCGCAGGGGGTGATCTCTCACCGCGACCGCTATCCACGACACTGTCGAAAAGCTAGCAGACGCGGCAATTTCTCGAAACCTGAGGGGGTGCGCAGGGGGTGGTCTCTCACCGCGGCCGCTATCCACGACACTGTCGAAACGCCTAGCAGGCGCGGCAATTTCTCGACACCAGAGGGGGTGCGCAGGGGGTTGTCTCTCACCGCAGCCGCTATCCACGACACTGTCGAAAAACCTAGCAGGCGCGGCAATTTCTCGACGCCAGAGGGGGTGCGCAGGGGGTGGTCTCTCACCGCGGCCGCTATCCACGACAATGTCGAAAAGGCTAGCAGGCGCGGATTACTCGGCACCAGAACAGATGCGCAGGGGATGGTCTCTCACCGCGCGGCCGCTATCCACGACACGGTCGAAAAGCCTGGCAGGCGCGGCAATTTCTCGACACCAGAGGGGGTGCGCAGGGGGGGTCTCTCATCGCGGCCGCTATCCACGACACTGTCGAGAAGCGTGGCAGGCGCGGCAATTTCACGACACCCGAGGGGGTGCGCAGTGGGTGGTCTCTCACCGCAGCCGCTATCCACGACAATGTCCAACGACGGGTACGACGACGAGTTTTGCGACGATGACGATGAGAACCGCGAGTGCAACGAGGACGACGACGGCGACGACGACAAAGACGACGTTGATGACGACGACGGCATGGAACCTTCCTTGGTCTGCTCTGGTTGGTCTGGTCTGGTTTGGTCGGGTTTGTTTGGTGGGTGTGGTCTGGTTGGTCTGGTCAGGTCTGGTCTGGTATGGCATGGTTGGTCTGATCTGGTTGGTGTGGTTGGTAGTCTGGCTTATTCTGGCTGCGGTTGTCGGTGTGACTAATATGTTTGTTCTGGCTGGTCTGGTTCATTGACCTGGCTGGGTATGGCTGGGATTGCTGATATGGCTGGTCTGGCTGATCTGGCTGGTCTTGTCAGTCTGGCTTGTCAGTTTGGTTCGTCTGGCGCTGGTTGTTTTTCTCACTGGTCATGGGTTGGATGACAGCTAGTGCGAGGGACTGTGGATGATGAGGAACCACGATGTGAAATTGTATGTGAAAACGCATGGCATGAAATAAGTATGTGGGGTTCCTCGGTAGCGTAATGTTTATGTCACTTGTTGTTCCCCTAAATATTCAAGAATCGTGAAAAAATCGTCTGGGGACTATTTGTTTAGAATGTTTAACCATTCTTGAATTTTGTTCTGACTATTCTTAATTTTTCCTCGAAAATCGGCCTGTGGGGGGACAGGCCCGACCCAATGGTAGCCCGAGACGGCTTCGTAAAGATGGCGCTGACAACTCCCAGGATCTTTTCAAACGGTCTTGAAAGCTCCGAGACGGTCCAGAGTCCACGAGGGCCTCCAGGAGGCAGTCACTCGAGAGGCGCACTGGAAAATCTAAATTTGGTCCGCATCCTTTTCCGCTGACCAGCCCCTTTTTATGACCCGTGGTGGCTGCTGGAGGGCCTCCAAGCGGCCACTGGAGCCATCCGGAGGGCCCCGGAATGGCCTCAGGATGGCCCACGACCGCCCCGAGACGACGGCGAGGCAGCACCGAGGGCAGAAGACGGCCACAAAAGCAACACTGCCTTCCACCAGGCCTCAAGACTCACGAGTGCACCCGGGCCCTCCCAGGAGGCCCAGGAGGCCCCGAGACGGCCCCCCGAGACAGGTCAAGCCTTCGCACGGCAAGACCTCTCCAGGTGGCCCCGAAGACCCCCAGCGGCCCCGACACGCCCGAAGCGGGCCCGTGTGACCCCCAGAGGCCTCCGAGAAGCCTCCCGCGGGCACCCCGAAGACCCTCTCGAGGCCCTCATCGGCCCACGAAGCAGTGGGGCCGATCCTGGAGGGGCGTCAGAAGCTGGCCCTCCGGGGGCCGCTCCTGGGGACGCCCCAGCGGATCGCGGCCCCTCCCGCCCAGGCCCGGGGGAGGGGGCAGGGAGAGCGGCAACCGCCCCCCCACACCCGAAGGGGGAGAAGGGTTCTTCAGGGGAACAAAAAATAACATAAACAGAAAGACTCGGAGGTCCGCGCGGATTTCTCGGATCGGCGCTGGGGCCCCCCGGCGGCGCCTCCGGCGCCGCCCCTGGCGCGCTCCGCGCGCCAGGGAGGGGAGTCCAGCGCCGATCCGAGAAACCCGCGCAGACCTCCGAGGTTTCATGTTTATGTCACTTGTTGTTCCCCTTTTCTTGGAAGAAGAAAGAAAGACCTCGTTAGACCACCTGCGCCCAGGAGAATCGTGGGACTGCTTCTCGAGGCCCTGGAGAAGCCCCCTTTCGGGGATGGACAGACCTCCCTTCAGTAAAACGTGGTTTAGTGAAAACGACCTGAGGCCCAAATCTGGCGGGCGCAAGCCTGGAAAATAACGGCCACGGCGCCCTCTCGAAAACCGAAAACGGACAATTCACTAATCGACGTGTCACTGTTGGGGGTTCTGTCCACCCCCGACCCTTATCGGCCTCTCGAGGCCCGTGCGCCGTCCTGCGCGGGTCTGCCGGAGATGGCCCCGGCCCATTTGCCGCCGTCGGCCTGTCCCTCTACAGGGCGGATATTCAAAAATAGTACAAGGGTAGTCTGTGAGCGAGCAACGACATATGTACATGTACGCCCTCCGCGATCTTGAATGCACGAACGTCCTCGTTCAAACGCCCTCCAGGGGAAGCTAACCGCGTACGTGTACATATGTTGCTGGCCTTTGAGTCTGGGGACTATTGTTTGCGCATTTGTTTCCCATGCCGGCGCATGGTTTGAGTACTTGTTATCTTTCGTCGAGAGTCCCCTTCTTAGAAGGACAGGCCCGACCCAAAGATAGCACAGCCTCCAACCAGCCCGCTTGCCGCCGGGCGGCTCCGGAGACAAATAGCACAGCCTCAAACTCCGAAAAGGCCGCATCGCATCGCATGCCAAATCGCCAACAGGCCGCGACGCCACGCGGGATGGCACGCCGCGCCCAATCACGGCGTCGGACCTGCCAAGGGCAGCTGGATGGGAGATGAGCCACCAGGGGGATCAGCATCGATTCGGGAAAAGCGGATATGATCGGAACCTGCGCCGGATCGGGCCGCGTCGGCACAGAGCCAGAACTGAAATCGGATCGGCTGCGCCAAATGCGCAGCGGCACCATGCAGGGCATCGGGCCACATCGGACCGTCGGAGCGTCGGAATCAGATCTGGTCGAGCTGGCCTCAAGTCGGACCTGTCCCCCTACAGGGAGATCTTCGACGAAAATCCCCCTGCATGGGGGAAACGTCCGACTTAAAGCTGGCCAAACTCGACACCGAATCGGATGGACCGCATCGACCATTATGTAATTTACTAAGGTTTATGGCCTCGGGGGCGCAGATACCGTGTAATTTACGCGGCTGCATGGCCTCGGGGACGCGAATATTATTGAATTTGCAAAAGTTTGTGGCCTCGGGGAGGCAGGCACGGTGTAATTTACATTGGTTTTCATTGCCCTGGAGACGCGAAAATGATGCAACGTTCGATGTTTATGGCTTCGGGGGCGCGAGATTTGCGTAACTTCCAAGGGAGTGGCGGGGGAGGACACGCGGGGCCTCCGGAGGCTGCCGCGCGGGCGCCGCTCGGAGCCGGCCCCCCCTCACGCGTACGGGGCGCCTGGGGTGTGCGGCGGCTGCTCCCCCTGCAGCACCGCCTTCCGGAAGCTCTTGAGCTGCAGGTCCTGGCAGGGGGGGAACGGGAGGGCTCCCCCGCAAGGAGCGAGGTTACCAGCCTGGAACATATCCCTATCCCCATGCTGGGCACCTCCTCATCACGATGCCAATCTTAGGGATTCCCTTGTTTTTGAGGGCGAATCCCCAAGATTGTCATCGCCGTTTGGCGTGTCAATCTCAGGGACAGGGACACGTTCGAGGCTGGTAACGAGGAGAGGCAAGGTCCGAGGTGAGACGAAGAAAAAACTGCACCAGCATGAAGTGTTGGCGCTCCGCACGGACTTCCTGGATCTGCGCTGGACCCGCCTCCCTGGCGCGCGGAGCGCGCCAGGGAGGCGGCGCCGGAGGCACCGCCGGGGGGCCCAGCGCGGATCCAAGGTATCCGCTTGGAGCGCCTAAAGTTTATGTTTATGCCGTTTTAACTGAGCGATCGGGGGTCGAGGCACCCCCTCCTGATCCTAGCCCGCCCTGAGGTTGCCCCTGAGGTCCCCGACGAAAACGCCCGAAAACCTCGAACTGGCTGGGCGATCGATCCCCTCCTGCTCCTATCCCGCCCGGGTGCTGCCTCCCGAGGTCCTTGTCCCACGCGGCCACCAGCTCCTTCCCCTGGCGACGCAGCCTCTGCTGCTCCGCCCCGCGCTCGCGCTGCATGCTGACCAGGTGCTTCGTCTTCTGCTTCTGCACCAGGTCGCGCTGCCGGACCTCCTCGATGTTCTTCAGGATGTCCTGGGCAGGGCCCAGTCAGCATTGACTCGGGAAATCGCAGCGGCGCGGAGGCGGGATCGGATCGGATCGGCTGCGCCAAGAGGCGCGGCGGCGCCATGCAGGCACTGGACCGCAGCGGGCCGTCAGGACATCGGAATCGAGTCGGATCGGGCCCGCCAGGACTGATATCGAATTGGCTCGCTCGCATCTGCATGGGCCCCGCCTGGGTGACCATCTGGTGCTTCAGGTCTTCCCGCCACTGCTCCCGCTGATTCTTGCGGATCCTCGCCACTTCCGCCTCATCGATGAAGGTCTCCGAGAAGAGCGGGTAGGCGTGCATCGAGGCGTTCTCGATGTGCTCCCGCCTCTCGTGCGCACGTCTGTCCTTGTTCCTCTCGATCTGCTGCATTATCTCGTTCTGGTTCCTGATCTCCCGCGATTTCTTGATGTCGGCCTCGAGCTTCTCGTCGTTGACGTTGGTCTTGAGCTTGACCTCATAGTTCTGCAGGAGGCTGCGCTCTGCGGCAGCGCTCTTGGCGATCTCCCGCTTGTAGCGCTCCATGGCCTGGCAAGAGCAGTCAGCATCGAATCGGGAAATCAGATCGAATCGGAGTGCGCGTCGGATCGGACTGCATCGGCACGGACCCGAAATCGAATTGGATCAGCCGCGCCAAGATGCACAACAGCGCCACACGAGCACTAGGCCGCACATCGGATCGCCGGACCAACGGGCTCCAATCGTACCCGGCTGGCCCGATGTCGACAGGGACCCAGCCTGCGTCCCCGACGGTGCTCGGGCCATTAGCTCGGGCCTCTGACGGCCGCTCCGGACGATTCCGGCACCCCTCGCACGCTCCCGGCGAGGCGTCGCTGCTGGAACGCACCCTGAGGCAACAACAACAAAAGAAATACGGCGAGAGCCGGCGAAAACACAGCTGGAACGCATCCAGAAGCGTGAACACCGCCGAGACCCGGCGAGCATGCCCGAACACCGGGACAGGCAGCGGCCGGTTTTCGGGAACCCTGAACCAAAACGCCTGGCCGTCTCTTGAGGGCGCATCTCTTGTTTCCGCCCGCTTCCGCCGGCGGCGGAGCCCGCCACGCCCTGCTTCCGCCGCCCTCCGCCGCCCTTCCGCCGAGGACGGCGACCCTCGAAGAGGAGGAGCGAGGAGGAGGAGGAGGAGGAGGAGGAGGAGGAGGAGGAGGAGGAACGAGGAGGAGGAGGAGGAGGAG